AAGGGTCAGTAAAGAGAACGCCAGTTGACAAGCGCTAGGGGACATTCAGATTGGACAGATCAGATCATAAAACACCGAGGTTAAAAAACACTCACGCTCTCAGAGATCGACAACAGAGTCCTAATAGCATCATCAACACCTAACGAGGCTGTGTGCCGCAGAGCCCATATGTCTGCACCTCCTGTTTTTAAAGTATTTCTAAAGCTGTATGAAAAAATGAAGCATTGGCCCTCAAACTCATTGTAATTTCCTACAATCGTACGATCCTTTGTGTGAGGAGCTTCGCACCTGGATGTCCTTGTGAGAGTGGCGTTATAAAAAGGACCTCTTTCCATCCGGACTAGAATAGAAGAAAGAATAACTTTCCATCTTTGTTGTCTCAGAAGATAATGTTGGAAAAATCAGACGCTGAACTTGCAAGGGCCTCTTTTTTCATTTTGCACTGTGTTTCTCCCCAAGTCTTGGGTGTTCTTTGGAAATGTCACCCCAGGTTTCTCCCCTTCATCGTGACTGACCTGGGAGGAATGCGAGCAGGGGGGGGGGGGGTGCGAAGCTTGACGAAAATGGAGGGGAAGTGAAGAAGTGAAGAGGAGCACTGGAGCTTGACAGGGTTCAGCCAGGCTGGAACGCGATACCTGAGACTATGCAGGCGGTTGCACTAACAAAGCCTCAGCGACTCCAGCCTAAATTCCCACAACTTACTCGGCCCTGACAGAAACCCCTTTTGGAAATTCCCTTTGTCACAAACCCACCTGAGAGACCATCCGCTCTCGGCCTCCTTGTTTTCCTTTTTTGACTGCGGATGCCGGGCCGCCGTGTTCCGTGCTTAGCATGCAACAGCGCAGCACCCACACAGAACCTGAATCCAGCCTGATTTCCAGTCCCACATCCACCTTAAGGGCATTTCTCCTATAGCTTCATCTCTGGATCGGTTAAATTCCTTAGTACTGGAATTACAGCTAGCCAGCCCTCACCCGCATTATAGCTTCGCAAAGCAATCAGCCGCGATGGAATCGAGGCAATTTAACATTCTAGCAAGTATGTTGTCTGGTGTGCTGTGGCTACTTGGCACTTCCCGCGGATCTCAGGTGGCGTATTGCGGGTCGCTGTCTGCTTGCCCATTAAAAATGAAACACGGCTTCTTAATTACATAGTGGCACTCTTGGCAATCATGGCCGTGCTCATGTGTCACTCCCTTATCTCGCTATATCCGAGCCAAAATCCCCCCTCACCCCCTCACATCCTCCTCACCCCCCCTCTTTACTGGCCACTTCATCAGTCTTGCCATCTCGCTGCTCTCCTCTCTGTATCACTCCATCTCTCTCGGTCGACTGCAATAAGACACTAGCCCTGCAGTTTATGTTTGCTCCCCTTGCCCGAAGTCCAGCCAAGCCACAATTACTTCCTGTGGTTCACGGTAGTGGGTCACTGCCACCCGCCAAAAGGTATTTACAGCTGAAATTACACACCCTGTGTTTTCCAAGCAGACCCACCTACATCGTTCTATTATCCTACGCTCCACCCAGAGGCTCCGGTGAAGGTGGGCTAAATGGTAAAGCCAGACATCCATGGAGATTGGCTTTGATTGGCTTCCTCTGTGGAGGACGACTGGCAGCAGAGCACGAACACAGTCCCCATTGTGTGGTGCTTGGCGCATGTACTTTATCATATCAGCATGAATGTGGGACAAAGGATGATTGGGTTGGAAGTATGATAATGAGAACTCTTAACTCAAAATATCTGACATTCGACCCACTGCAACGACTCTTGAAGTTTTCCGCAAAAGGCCCGAAAGGCTCGACTAAACAATCCGCTAACCAGTCAAGGTTTGCCCGGAGATGAAAGAAGAACGACAGACTGCTGACGACGCAGCTCAACTTTTAGGTACGAGGGTCGGTGGGGGGAGGAAATGAAAATCAAATCCAGGAGGTCACACATCACTGACACGAGTGGCAAAGTCCTATTTGTATTGGCTGCAGCTTGCTAGAGTCAGGCCGGCCATGTGTTTTCCCTTTAGTGTCCAGGAAACAAACCCCGAGCCAGGCATGCGGCGGGAGCTCCCAGCGGACCTGTGGCTTGTTTGCATTGTTCATTTTTTGGGATGACGGATTTGCTCAATCACCCGTGGCTGTCACAGCTGGCCTTCAATCACAGGCGCACCACAAAGGGGCCGAAAAGAGGTCCTGGCATCTGTAAAAAAATGAAGCAAAATAGTGCTGACTCGTAATTGAATGTGTGTGGCAGGGGCACATCGTGGGGCTCGGCTACTTTAGACATGAAAGCACAAGGCGATATCTCATTTACGTCAGACATAATTGTGTCTTTGCTCACGCACTAAAGTTTCTTCAGGTCAGCAAAACCCCCGCCATCAACGGAGATTCGGCGTGCGTGCATGGCCGATAAGTCGGTAACTTTTCCCCTATGATTTCACAGTGTGACATCTCTCCGTATAGTTACCTACGAATACTTGAAAGGGGGGGGTGCATTGGATTTGCCAACGAGAAAAGCCGCATGCGATTTCACACGACACGTTGGCCAATTTGTTTTTCTTCCTCGGCTACTTCCCCCGCCTAGACATGCGCGCTCCAATATAGGTGGATGAACTGACGAAGAAAGAATTACTTTTTTATTTTTATTCATTTATTTAAAAGACACAGAATGAAGAGAGCGAAGGTCGCTGTGCAGACGGTGGTTGCTGAAGATTCTAATCCAAAGCCTCCGGCGATCTCTGCGTGAACTCCATTTTTGGTCTGCAAACAAATTAGCTTTTTTTTCCCCCCCTCTCTCGTCTATCTTACTCTCCCTCCAGTGAAAATAAGGGAAATTCAGGTGAATAAAATCTATTTGTTCATTTAACTTTTTTTCTGCCCCCCCCCCCTTGCTTCTTTTCTCTATTCCAAACTCAATTTTCTCTCGGGGCGCGCCTGCTCAAGTGTTTTCTTTTTTGTCGCGACGGCCCTGGCAGCAATTCATTAGGCAACAGTTGTTTAATTTTGAATCATTAAAAAACCGTGTTTCTTAAGGGGGGTGGCACTCCACTATTTTCTTCCGGGCAAAGACCCCCCCCCCCCCCCGACCACACACAAGCTGTTATATCTGCTAACGCACACCTTCACAACAAACAAGTGTTTGGGAGAAAATGTGTTGTTTGTTTGTTTGGGTGAAAACAAACAAACACAAGCAAAAATGATAAAACATGCTTTGATATCTTAGCATATTTTCAAGTGTTATTACGCTTATAGAGAGCGGTTCCCCTTCTGGGCCCCGATTTTAATTATACAACAAATGTTTGACTATCCAAGGGAAAATTTCCATGAATATTTATGTCAATTTATTTGTTGAGTGTTGATTGTAATTACATGGAAACATGATTTATTGCCAAGATTGCCGGGCTGGCCAGCCAGCCGGAGACAAGAACGGTTGTGCTATATACTTATATAAAGAAATCTAAATGTACGAATACGTGCAAACATTCACAGAGGCACACGGAGCTAAAGGAGGCCCTTTTGTTTTTCACGGCGGCTTGTGGCAAATTTCATTATCAAACAGACAATCTTTCACGGTTTGTGCCTGGCAGAAATTCAGAGGTGCTTCAGTAAGTGTCTCTGGATGACAAAATAACAAAGAGGCTCGCCCTCCGTCAGTGACACGCATACGCTCGCAGAGATTGCCCCTTATATCCGCGTGCGCGTGAAAGCTGTCACTTCATTTGTCACTCATTTTCCAAAGATAGACATACGTTCGCGCATATCAAATATCCGCCGGCTCGACAAGAGCTTGATGTGATGTTTTGGCATCCGGCGCTAAGATAAGAATGATCAAAAGCGGGAAGTAGATGTACAAAATAAAGACGGCGTTGCCAACCGCTGATGGCGGATTTCATTTCATCAGGTGAAACAATCTGGGGGGGGGGGGGAGTGGAAAGAGATGGAGGGAGGAAGAACAGACGTTTGAGTAATGGCCCTCTGTCCTGGTTTATATTCTCGCGATGGACCACAAAGAGTCCGGGGGGGGGAAATGGGGGGGGGGCCTTTGCAGGGACGGGCCGGTGGTGGAATTCCCGCGAGGGGTTGAGGAAGAGAAACAACTCGGACTGTGTTTTGTGACTAATTAAAGAAAAGGCGTCGGCCATTTGTCACGCCATTCGTGTTCCGCTAACGACCGCGGCCGGGTCGTTCGTTCCCAGTCTCGTGCCCGCTCTCCCTCTTTCATCCCCCTCTATCCGCCGTTACATCTTTACAGCGACTGAGACGCGTAGAGGGGGAGGTAAACAAACCGCCTGAGACGGTGAGCAAGAGGCTTCCACTTTAACGACGTGCTCCGCTGCTGCTGAACTCGGGCCACTGTTCAATAATGAGCAAGCTACGCTCATCGCCAGCAGGAACCCGCAGCTCATCCAGCACTGGTAGGACACCCCCCCCCCCCCCCCGCCGGACTGGACGCTCGTCCGCCTTCATCTTTTTAGCGGGCAAAATAAACATTGTTCCTTCCTTCACTGTATTTAACTTGGAGGTTCAGCGAGTCGCTGAGTTGTTTTGGTTCCCTGAGCATCAAGCGGGCTTTTGAAAGGCTTCCTTTGTAAAGCCTTCCGCGGCCTCTCTGTTACAATGTCTTGCCATTGATAGTTTAAAGGGTGTGAGAAAGGCATGAACTGGTTTGTTTGCAAGGCATGAAAAAAAGTCTTTGTCTGCTTTTGTGATCCGGCAGATTCTGCAGTTGATCTTATATTTAGGAGTCAGGCAAGGACGTCAAAGCAAGCTTGGAGATTCACCCTGTCTTTAGCCAGTACCCTTCCACGACTCCTCCACACACCTCCAATTAAAGCATAACCCTTACCCTTGTCCCCCTTTTTCCCCCCTTACTTACTCCTCTACAACCCGACCCCAAATTTCTTTAAGAAAGACGTTGGATCCAACTCCCTCGCCGTCCTCAAACAAATCAAAGCAAAGCAAAGCAGTCCCTTTTATAGTGACCCCCGGCCGTTTGGTTCTCTCTTGTAGCCGTTTCGCCGAGTGACCTTCTCGGTGGTGAGCCAGCCCCAGGACCCTCACCAGCAGGGATCGCTGCAGAGCTGCTACGACAGCGGCCTGGACGAGTCGGAGACGCCCAGCAGCAAGAGTTCGTCGGGCCCCCGGCTGGGCGCCCTTCCCCTGCCCGAGGACAGCTACGAGAGGACAACGCCGGATGGCAGTGTCGGTGAGGCAGAGCACATGGAAAATGGTAGGGGCAAACACTAAAGGAGATTAAGAAAGCGTTAAGATACAGGACAACATACACATACTGCGTAGGGCCTCCACGCACAGCAGCACGCCCGGAGGTAGACAGTCTCAGAAACATACAAAAACACGTGAGGTTCTGGCCTTTTTTCATTTATTCTTTATTACCAACTAGAACATTTCGCTCAGTTTTGAGTGTTGGGATTTCTGGATAGTTCCGTAGAGGATCAGGTGCCATGTCGTGCCACAGAAGCCGTTGCAACCTTTCCTCCAAGCAAAAGACCTTCCACGAATTTACATCATGTGAAGACGGGGGTTTTCGGGATTTATGATAAAACCTATGCTTCTGTTTCAGAAGACAGGAGGCTTATTCAATCAAAGGCGCTACACGAGGGAATACATGCAGCAGACGTACTCCGTTAGATCAACACCTTCCAGGCCGTCTTACTCCTTTCAGCTCTTCTCTTTGCAATTCTCGCCGAATGTAGTCCGTCATCTGGATTTCAACCCCGACTGGGGATAGATTTGGTTCGAGATCGCTTACAGACGAAGTAAAGGAGGCGTAGCCGTGGGGGGTTAATACCCCACTTGAATTGTTTTGAAGCCGTACTGATTTGCAATGAGTGGTGCTGCCTTATGTAGGTCTCTCTTTTTTTTGGGGGGGTGGAGCACATGTTCAGGAGATTGTAATGTGAGTGAGTGGGAGCAGTGGAAAAAAATAAAAATAAAGGAGAGTCAGTCCCTGACTACAGTGCTCCATAACGTCCTCACAGCCACCCTGAACTAGTTTTCTACCAAGACCAACATATGTGTGTGTGTGTGTGTGTGTGTGTGTGTGTGTGTGCGTGTGCAGTGAGAGCTGGGGGTAATGGTCCCATTCATAGTGTAGGAGTCTGGGGCGATGCTTAACAAGGAGGAGCTGTCTTGAGAGCGCTAAGCCTAAGTGCAGAGGCTTCCCCACTGCAGCTTAGGATAACGATATTCAAATGGCGTACACTCTCTTCTTTTTTAGATGGATTTATTCTAGAGATGATGTCTTAACTTATCCCAGATCAGTTCAGTCAATGTGGCGTTCCACTGTATCCATCGGGTAGAGCCGGGACAACCTTTAGAGAGGGTTAAATGTCTAGTTATGGGTTTGCAGTGACGCCTAAGATAGCAGATAGGAAGTAAGGCACAGATGCACATCAAACGGGGCAGTTACCAAGGTGCCCATGGGGAACCTTCTAAAGTTTTCGCCTCAGTGCAGATTAAAAAGGATTTAAACCACTTTAATATGAGCCGATAGGGCTACCTTGAGGATACTTAAAATCTCCCTTTTCAGACAATAGGCGTCCATTCAGTGGCCAAATTAGACCCAATAAAAAGACTCTTTTCAATTTGGTCTCCGTTTAAAAGTAATATGAGTGGTATGAGCCAAGAGCACAAATCCGAGTTGGATGAGAACTGCGGTCAGCCTGTCGATCAAATCCACCTTGGGATAAGCTTCAATTTTTGGAGGAATGTGATCATTGGATAACCCCAAATAAGACCATGTATCTTAAAGATATAAGCCAATGTGAGATTTCTTTGCATTCAGCTTATCGACCGAACATATTTCATCCCCATCACTTTTGGCTTCAACTCAACGCACGTGTGTTGTCAATTCTTATTATTCCATCGCAAGGCAGACTGGAGCTTTAGCGGAGATTTGTTTGAGGAACAGAATCAAGGTCAATTCATGAATCAGTCTCCATCCAAGTGAAACTATCTTCAGTGGGATCAGTTTCACTGTGTGTTTGTGAGAGTGTGTGTGTGTGTGTGTGTGTGGAAATACACAACGTCCATTTGGCCGCGTTTTGTTCCACCTGTTGTTCCCAATCTCAACGTGACCGCTCGCATCTCTTGCGGCGGATGGGCTCCTCCGGTTTGCATCAGTAGCCCGGTCCTGGGAGGGAAACCGGTTGGCCTCGTTGGTTTAAGGGGGGGGGGGGGCAACTCGAATTGGTCTTGATCCCGTCATTCAACCCGGGGAAGAGGCAGCTTTATGCTTCCTGTTCAAGTGTCCTCGAGGACCACCCTGAGACCCTCACTTAAGTTAGGTCACTGTGGCAATCGAGCTAAATACCTAAGTGTAAAGTGAATGCAATCATCTAAGGTTAGGGCAAACCTTGGCAAAGTGCTTCACCCTCTTGAGGGACGCTAACTACGGTCATTAGCGCCCCCCCCTCGCAGCGTAGCCAGAAGACAAGCACACACACACACACACACACACACAAGACAACAACAGTGCTACTTTATATGAGACCTTTAGCCCTTTAGGAAATGAGGGAAAACAAGAGTTAGCAGATGGCTCCGCCGTGCCCCCCCAGCGTTGGTGTGAGCGTCATTAGCGACAGGTAATCGTAGGCATTTATGTGCGTAATGCAGCGGAAAGTCTCGACGAGTCGGTTTTTATTCTTCCATTTTTCTCCCGCGGAGGAGCAGATTAAGCAGCGAGAGACGAGGGGAGGAGGGCAGGTTTTGGAGTTTGGATTTCCGTTCCCATGAGTCATCATGAGTCATCATGCGTCATCATGCGTGATGTCCCTGCGCTTCGGTACTTGGTCTCCACCACTTTCTTCCGATTCCGCGTCTTTAACGGCGCCCAAAACGCTGCAGCTGCTCGTCAATGCACGAGTGCACGCACACAAACGAATGCACGCACACCAACGGCGACAAGCGCACAACCGCAGGCATCCGTTCTAACACGAACCCGGACAGACACACACACACACACACACACACAGTCTTTACAGTCTCTGACCTCACGCTCTTCATCCCCACTTCCTTTTTCCAACACGCACAGATGTGTGAAGGGGCCGTGTTTTCTTTTCCTCCTCCCCTTCATCAAGGTCAGGTTTTGAACTCAAAGTGTTTCGTATTGGTTGACATCTTTCCACGGGGGGGGTGGAGACAGTCAAAAGCTGCAACCGAACGGCGCACAAAGAATGAAACAAAGAGCAAAACACATTCTTTTAGCGTGAATCCTGAGCGGCACACCGCTGCCTGCGTCTACCAGCTGTGGCGTTTGGTGCATTTTCAGGAAAGTCTTGATCTTTTTGTTGCACAGCTGGGCCACTCACTTATTCATTAGCTGGTGCTCATCAGATATTCATAAACGCTGAGTGTTTGGAGTCAAACACCCGATTAGGCCGTTGCGCATGTGAAAGAGCCCCTCCAGATGCACGCCGTTATCGCTGGGTCAAAGACTCGCGCTCCATTATTGATCTGCACGTCGCCAGGGGCGGGGCGGTGGATTTTTCCTTTTTTTTTTTTTTTTTTACCGCGTTAGTTTGACCTCAGCTCAAAATAGCACCCTTCCACGGTGCCCTTTCATCCCGAGTCAGGTGTCTGAGGTGTGCAAAGTGTTTTCCTATGAAACCTCTGTGCAAATGTGCACAGCTGCGGGCGCTGAAGATGTAATAATTGTTCAGAACATCAGCGCGGCTTTACGGGCCGGCTCCGCTTGTTGCATTGGGTCACGTTGCAAAGGGTTCAGGAGATACTATGAATACTGTTTCATCCACCGCAGGAATCAATATGTGGAGCCTTTTTGAGATCGAAAATAAATAAATGTACGTATTAGTTTGTACATTTTGCTTTAACCTTAAGGTGCTGCTCGGCCCGCGGCTATTTCTATACGCAAAGTATCCCAGGGAAAACTTTCCTCAACAGAACTTTATTAATACCGCAGGGGCTTTTGGTGTCCCGTGACGCTCACCAAGAGGTCATACAGTTTACCCAACTTTTTATCTACCGCTCCATCGCCGAGCGCATCTCGCAGAGGCCCGCCGCCTGTTCTCGTTTACGCCGGCGGCTGAGACGGATGAATGGGGCAAATTTTTTGTAGCCTCTGAGAGAGTAATAGCACGTCCTACTGGCTGCTAACGTTAGCATGCCTCCCACGTTTCTGTGCTTTGGCTGGCAGACAACCAGCGCGCACACACACACACACACACACACACACACACACAGCTCTATCTCTCTCCTGTCTCTCCCGCAGAGAAATCTTGGGCTACCACCGTCGGATTACAAACATCATCATTTAGTGTCGGCTGGCCGGCCCAACGGAGTGCGGGACGGCCGAGCGGCGACATCACAGCGGCCGGTCAGCGAGCTACAGGCCGCTGTGTACCGACGCCGGCTGAGCCTGTGCTCACACAGACAGGCACACTTTTACACAGAGGGACGGAAACACATGCTCAGGCACAACACAATTCACACACACGCACACACACACACACACCTCATTCAGCACTGCATCGTTTTCCAGCTCTGAAGCACCTCTCTGGATCACTCCATTGTTGTTGTTTGTGTCTATTTCCAAAGATCTGCCTGCTGGAATGCTGCTTAGCTCGGTTAATAATGTGCGTGTGTGTGTGTGTGTGTGTGTGTGTGTGTGTGTGTCTGGTTGGGCCAGATGGCAAAGCAAATTTGTTTAATTAAAACCATTCATATTTGAAGAGCGGAGCTGCAGCAGCACTGGTCTTAGGTCTGATTTCCCAAAACTTGATGGAGGGATGGTGGAACGAGCGTGTGTGTGTGTGTTAGTGTGTTGTGTGTGTGTGTGTGTCGCCTGCCCGTCAGCGCCCTGTGCAACGCGGTGTAGTGAAAAAATCCCCCAGCGGAAGGCCTCCACGCTATGTCCCCCCCCCACCCGAATGCCCTCCCCAAGGTCGCACTCGCATGTGTGCGCCAGCTTAAAAAAACACACAACATTAATTAGGAAATTAAAATCGGGGCGGAAACGAGAGAAATAATAATGAGCTACAGTCAGGTGCACTTGGCGGCGGCGTTCGTACCGACTGTTTGCCTTGCAGTCCTCCGACGCGTGCCTCTCATTCACTTCCATCTGTTCCCTTTACCCCACGCCCCCTTTCACTTCCCCCCCCCGCGGTATTCCTGAGGCAGGTCACACACAGAGAATATAGAAACAACAAGACGCCGGGCCGAAACCCCGTGAGGAGAAAACCAAAGAGAAGG